TGAATTTTGAATTTATTAAACTGCAAGAATTGAAAAACTAATAATAACAAGACTACAAATAATTATAAGAATAACACTGCTGGATATCAAACAAACAAAACAATATTAAAACATTAATAACACTATTTAGTAATTGGTGTCAGCACACTAATTATGAAAATTTGATTGCATCTGTATTTTTTAACTATAAAATAAACTTATAAATATTATATATATATATATCGTATAAATATGTAAATATATATAATATAATATAATGATAATAACGATAATAATAGTAATAACAACAATAATAACAGTAACAATATTGAACATGTTAACCATTACACAGAAATTAATTATGGAAAATCATAATCTATTTTATTAGAATTCAACCCACTTAAGCTAAATACTCTATCTAATGATTGGTATTGTAAAACAACATTTCAACTTCAGACAACTACTCAGTCGAACTTAATGGGTTTTTCAATCTTCTAAATCTTAATTTTGATAAACTATTGCATTAATCCATTAAAAACATATGAAAAAAATAATTAGAATTACAAAAATAATCGAACAATAGTAAATATCACATTTACATTTACATTTGTTATTTTATTTGTCAAATATAATAACAAATGACTTAGATCACAATAATTATAATAATAATAACAATAATAATTTAAAAAGATAATAATATTATAATAACAATAACAGTAAAAATATTGAACATGTTATCCATTTCACAAAAATAAATTATGCAAAATCATAACCTATTTTATAACAATTCAACCCACATAATTAATTGTTTTTCCCTTATTCAAGCACACCACGACGTCATCACCATACCCATGAATAATATTTGGTATGCCGATTTAGGAATGATTAAACATCACCAGCCTAGGCTATTCGTCAATTCCTTGCTCAACAAATAGGCCCTACTACCACCGAAACAGGGCATCTATGAATTATACCTTTTTGTCTTTGGATGATACCCGTCACACCAGTAAAGACCTCTACCTGAAACAAAGATCCAGTGTAAATGTTTTGAATTAACTTCACAATAGATTCGGGGTATATGTACTCTGCCCTTTTCAGTGCAAATATAATAAAGTCATGATTAATACTTCCGAATGCCTCGGCAAGGTCGATGAAATTAACACAACATGTTCTTGATTGGTGCCTATAAAATCAGAAATACCACCAAGCAGCAGACAAAAGCTCTTGCAATCCATTACGTGGAATTGCACCTTTTTGTTTAACAGAAATTAACCTATTATTATTGACAACCCAAGTCAGTGGCAGATTCAAGGGGTGGGGTGGGGGCGGGGCAGCCGACTATACCCCCACCCCACCCACCTCTAATCTTTTCAAAATTGAAAAAAAATATATATAAAAAGAAAATTCTACTCAAGTTTTGAGTCTAAGAGTGCAATTTCCGGCCATTTAGAGGAGACATAATCATACATTTTCTTACCTCGGCCCCCACCATGATTGGGGCTGAAAGGTAGTATAGACCGTCCATCTATGAAAGTACCTCTATGGGCCCTCTATTTCAAATTTCTGGATCCGCCACTGCAAGTGACAATACGTTTTTCAATGATTTTCATAAAAATCTTATAAAAGTAAGGATACGGTCTCCATTCACTTAGGTCATCTGAATTCTTTATTTCCTTTAGGAATAAGCTTAATAAACGCTCTTTTCCATTCGTCAGGGACATTATGAATAATCATGCAAATGTTATTGTTAAATACTATAGTTAGGAATGGAATCACTTGCAACAAATGAGAATTCAGTGGCGGATCCATGGGGTGGGGTGTTCAGGGCGTTAGGACGCACCCCCCTCTGTAAAAGAAATGTAACAAAATACTACTGGGTCCTGGCTTACAAAAGGCATGCTGAAACCGCAGGGGCGGATCCAGAAATTTTCTGACTGGGATGGGGGGGGGGTGCAATATGTATTCCACACCCACCTAAGCCCCACCATGGTTGGGGCTGAGGACGTGAGCAAATTTTTAAAATAGGACCCTCTAGACGCTCGAAAATGGCACTCTCAGATGGTAAAAATATGCTTTTTCAAAGCAGTGTTCCACTACAAAAAATTGACTTCCTCTCTCCCTCTCCCCTCACGGCCATCGCAGAGGTCTAATCAAGGACCTATAGTTTGTTCTATACTGGGAGTCGCAAAACAAATTATGCTTTTTCAAATTTGGTACCTCTAGATGCCCGGAAATGACACTCATTCAGACTTTGAATAAAAAAATATTTACAAGTGCAGGGGTCCTGGTCGGCTGGGCAACCCACCCCGCTGGATTAATATGCTATAATATATGTCCTACAGTCGATTTCAATGACACATTATGCTGTTTTGTATCAGCAAAGCCCTTTTGGATCAGGGTGCTATAGAGCGAGAACCCTACTGGACAATATGGGTAGGGGCACCGAAGGGGCCCCTAAGGATCAGTGGCCCTTTAAGCAAATTTTAAGAATAGGCCCCTCTATAGACGCTCGGAAATGGCACTCTCGGGCGGTAAAAATGCTTTTTCAAAGGTGTGTTTCTCGACAAAAGTATTGACTTCCAAACCGACGGCAGTTATGCTCCCTCGTATGCTCCCCCTCCCTTAGACGCCCCTGGGGCGGATACAGGATTTGGCGGTAGGGTGTGCGTGAGGGTCCTACTCACTGCCCCACTATGGTTGGGTCTGAGGGAATAGACAATTTTGAGAATAGGGACTTCTCAGGCGTTGATCCAGAGTTTTAGCTGGGCTCGGTTTCCAAGAACGCTCACCCTATCTCCGACAGTCGTGTCAGTTGTGGTTCACAGACGAATCGGGGTGCCTTTCCGTTTGCGCAGGGCAGCTACCAATGCACCCAGATTCGTCTGCGTCTGCAACGCATTCGGAAGAGTTGAAGCAGGTTCAACCTTCCCGACAAATGTCGGCGACTGTCGCCGATAGGGTGAGCGATTATATGGCAACCGTGTTTTACCCTGACTATCGCACATAATGGGTTCCCTGAGTGGGCGGGGTCATGTGAAGAAAACGTAAAGTTTGCTTGTTTCGTCGCTGGAAGATTATTTTAGGGGGGGGGGGGGGGTTGTTTTGCAGTAGTCTTGGGGTTCTCCTAGCTACGTAAAGTTTTGTTTTTTTCTAGATGAGAAATGCACTTACGTGCATTACGAGACTTCTATTGATGAATGAATACACACTGAAATAATAGATTTCCCCCATTTTAGCATGGTCAATTAATAATTGCGATGAGGAAGATGATGATGATGATGATGATGATGTGATGATGATGATAAGGAGGAGAAGGCATCGTATCAGGTGACGACAGGCCCCTGTGCAGCAAGGTTAATTAACAGGCCCTTTGATATGAGTGTCAACCGAGGCCCATATCCCGAGTTCGTCGTCACATTTTCAATGCACACAATCTTACAACAGTAATTATCTATAAATTATATTATCAGTACATTCTCGACTGTCGTGAAAATATCATATATCTAAAAAATTATAATTATATGCATGCTCGGAAGCGGAAATTTTAACCTAAAAGATTGATATATGTTTCATGTTGATTGTTGAATGGTCTTTAATGATATTATATTCTAATATGACTACAACATAAGGAAGAACACTTTGTCACCTACAAAGTTCAGACCCATATACATTTATATTTCCTTAGGCCTAAATCATAAGGAAGTCCGCTCTATATCAAAATTTAAGGAAATTATACGTTTTACGCATGCACCGACGTGGGAATTTTTTTTATGTTGTTTGCCGAATGGTCTTCTTTAAAAAATATAACAGTTTAATCATGAGGAAGTTCATTCTTTAAATGTTTAGTAGATAGTACAGAAAATTATCATTGTTTATCAAAATCATTATACACTTGTTAAATCCAATTTAAAACAAAACAATAAAAAATACGTTTTCAGTGCACGCGCCGACGTGGAAAGATTAACCTAATGTTCTATGATAGATTACATCCACAGGGTGCCCCTATGCCAAAATTTCAAAATTAAATAATTTGCGTTTTTCCGAATTACGACAGACTGAGTAGATTAGGCCTACTGGTTAAAATGTTTAAAATCCAGATTTTATTTATTGTTTGGTGCGTTATACACATTCTTTGTAACACCCCCAACTACTGGATATACGGGCCAGGAAACTTTACATTTTACCTGCCAATTACAGTTTTATACGCTTATTAGATACCTTCTCAATTTCTCAGTATTTTTTTTATTCTTTTTCCACATCCAACACGGTATGATTTGAAATTTACATAGCATTCGTTAAAATAATGAAATAATAATTCATTAATCAAAAAGTAATAATTAAAATAATGTTTTCGTTTTGGTGTAATTTTGGAATAACAAAATATAATAAAATTATATATGCCTTTCAATAAGGTTATAGGAATCAACGCACATGTATAGCCTATCCTCAATGTGATTGGTTTTGTATTAACCATACATTGTGACATAGATGATGATGATAATAATAATAATAATAATAATAATAATAATAATAATAATAATAGAAATAATAATAATAATAATAATAATAATAATAATAATAATAAAAAAACTCAACAGTGTACCGTACGTTATCGCGCAGCCGATTTAATTACAGTCCCTCTTTGATTAATACTTAGACAATGCAAAACGATTATTTTGTCTATATATTTTTGTCTTTGGTTTAGGTAGGTGGCATTTCTGACAGAAAGAGTTGGAAATTGCCAGACCACCAGGCACTGCTATTACTTTATATTGGCAAACGGTGCAAAGAGGTCTGGATCCGCGCCTACCTCCAGGCGCCCGCAAATTGCACTCTCATACCTTACAACAAACAGTACAACAATTATTTTTCTTAATACAATTTAGGAGGTGCGACCGCACCATCTGCACCACCTCTGCATCCGCCCCAGCACCCCTCCCCTCACGGGCGTCGGAGAGGTCTGATAAAAGGACCTATAATCCATTATATATTCTATACTGGGTAGTCGCAAAGATATGATCATGGCACCTTTAGATGTCCGTAAATGGCACTCATTCAGACTTAAAATTTGAAAATTTTATCTCAATTTTTTAAAATGTTGACAAATGTAGGGTGGGCCCTGGCCGGCTGGGCACCCCACCCCCACTGGATTAATATAATATATGTCATACAGTCGTTGTCAGAGACACATTATACTGTTATTAACAAAGCCATTTAGGATCAGGTTAGTATATGGCGCGAGAACCCTACTGGACTCATGGGTAGGGGCATCAAAAGGGCCAATAAGGGTCGGTGGCCTGCGGATTTTCGCACGAGAACGCGTAGGCGTTACCTCATGCTGAGCATGGATAGCTGTTCTGTAGCTGGGTACTACATTCCGGTTTAAAACAACTCTGTCTTTAGGTCTCTGCCTTTTGGTCTCTTTACATACTGATTGATGCGTCGGGGATATAGCGTTGTGTTTGTTGTCAATCAATAGAAAATTCAAAATTAGTGAGTGGTAAAATAATCGAGCTCTCCTTTCGCCCTCTGCTGGATCCGTCACTGAACTCATAGGCACACTTCCTTTTTTCCCTCTTTCTTTTTTCCCTTTAACTCTTCTCAATTTTTTTTTATTTTTCGGCGTAACTGACGGTGGGGGGGGGGGGGCTGTGGCCCCCGCTGGATCCGCGCCTGAACCTACCTAGGCATATTGGTTGGCAAATCAGACAAACTATGCTCACAACTAGCCTTCAATTAAATAAAATTATATAGACTGATTTTGGTTCAATGTCGTAATAATGTATGTACAAAAGTGCGTTCTACGCAATATTGTTGGAATATAATAATATATTGCTTATGTCTTTGATTTTTTTTTCTCTATATAATGGCATGAAGAATGAGATAAAATTACCTGAGCTTTTTCAAGAGGAGACTAGAAAAACCTTAAATTTTCAAGAACTTAAAGGTCATTAAAAACTCCTCAGAAGTCGGGAAAGCTCATTTCCGGCCATCTAGGAATCCAAATTTTCCGGGGGAGGTCCCCAGGACCCCCTTTAATTTTGGGGATTTTTGAGACATTGTGAACCACCCTCTTTCATATCCTGGATCCGCCCCTGGAATTAATATCTTTAAATGAAATACGATCATGACCTGGTGCTCTTCTTGTGGGGAGAATTAATACCGGTAGCATTCACAATATAGCCTTCGTAATAGGCGTGTCCATTCATCGGCTGTCAAACCTGAAAAATTCCTTCCTTATACTTAAATATAATATTTACCAACTTGATAAACTCTCCACCAACTATGTGGAGGGTGTGTTCGTGTTTGGGGGTGGGGTGTGTGTGTGTGTATGTATTCAGTATTATACTTGATTAAATTATAAAATGTCAGATTTTCAAAACTATGCCTATAGTAGGCATAGTTTTTAAAATCTGACATTTTATAATTTAATCAAGGTTGTCTACTTTTAATCTTAAGTGTCTATAGTAATTATAGACACTTAAGATTGATAGTAGACAAACTTGATTAAATGTCGTAATGTATAACTATTATAAAGTACAATGCAATTTTGTGAAGTAAATCCATCATATTATATTGGCGTTTGTGCTTGTATGCTTTTCTCATGTTTTACCCGAATAGATAAATTGAAATTGAAATATTTATATTATTATTGCTTATTAAATTTTGCAGGATGTGGCTCACAACATTTTGGGCGGTATTGTGAGGTGCCATGCAGCAGTAGTAACGCCGAAAGCTGCATGACGAATTTATTCTGCCCTCCAGATCCAGTTGGATGCAGCTGCGTTGATGGTTATGAAGGTCTTGGATGTTCACAATGTAAAACATCTAATTATACATTGTTATTATTTAACAAAATATAATATTTTAATTAACAGCCGAAATATTAATAATTTGACTTTTCAAATGAATGCAATATATCATAGCCGATCTTAATTTAGAAGGTTTTTATTTTTAATTCAAAAGAAACCTAAGGCATTGAAACTGTTAATACAATTATGATCTGTCACTTTATCGGATTGAAAGAGGTTATGCTTCGTCACTTGTTTATTTTGTGCTAATAAAATTTAGAGATTATGGTGGAAGACAGAAATCACCATTGCTTGGGTATTGTTAAGTATTACCGATAATTAAACAGTATGTGAATATTATATTTTACAATAAACACTAACGGATTCTCCTACAGCATGTGGCGCTGGATGGTATGGCGCCAGTTGTCAACAAAAGTGCCATTGCGATAATACCTACTGTGATCGGAAATATGGATGTACTTCTAGCAGTGATTGCTGGGACGGTTACACAGGACCACAATGCCAAGGTAGGAGCAGTTTGGCGCAGAAGTTGAGGTTCTGCTTCTAACCTTGATGTCGGAGGTTAAATCTCTCGCAGTGTATTTCGCTTGTCTCTCTCCACCCAGCAGTACAAGTCATGACCGGCTGAAGCGGGGGGCGGGGGCCCGGCCCTCCCCCCCCACACTTTTTGGCGAAAAATATATAATGTCTGGAGATTTTTGTATGGCTGCTGAGAAAGTTTACCTTACCATTTTCATGAGGGGTAAAAACTTGAATTTTGAAGAACAAAGTCATTAGACACCTAGCTCAAAAGTCGAGAAAGGTCATTTCCCGCCATCTAGAAATCAAAATTTTCCCGGGGGAGGAATGTTGACCCCACCACTTAGATTTGATTCCAGATCTGCATGATTCATATTCTCATTCATCTTATAAGCAGTGACGTAAAAGG